CCTTTTACACAGTTTGTTTATGCTGTCTATTACTTTTAAAACAACAAAATACTTTATTAATATTTCGTTGTAATAAGGACACCATCATCTATCTTCACACTCCAAAGTGAGTTTCAATAGTTTAATTCTATTTGTTCTAGGCTGGGTTTTACCTTGGACTATTTAAGTTGTTAAGATTTCTTCTACATCTGATGACCTGAGATAAGTTAGCCCAAAATAAGATTAAATGACGTGATATATGTGACAATATTTTCTCGCAGATTATAAACTCCTACATGTAGGTGTGTAACCTAGTTTGTTGGAGATTGCCCAGAACCCAAATTGATGAAATCACCTAGGTCCTGGTTTTCTTTCCTAGACTTTTTGGAAAGAAGTGAGAGAACACTAGTACATGCTAAGGTAGGAGAGGGGAGGGTAAGAAGCCTCCAGAAGTGCTGCTGTAACCCGAGTCTCCTTGTGGAAAAAAACGCTCCTCTCCATGATGGCTGAGCTACCAGACCTTCCCCATATTCTTAGCTGATGAGTGAAGACCTCTGCTGGGACAATGAAGTATCATGCTAGGGAGTTTCCTACAAATATAGTCAATTCATTGTCTCTTTGTCTAAAGGCTAAGCCTACTTTGTCACTCTCCTTTATTGACTCTCTGGAATTCTCTTGTTTAATTTATTAATTGAACCAACACTTATTAAGTCTCTCCTCTACACCAGCACCATGTCCTGTCCTGGGGCAATGAGGTGAATATGAGATAGTCTTAGTCATTGGGGACTGCTAATAGTGAATACGGGCATGGAAATATTTTTTAAATGCAATCCAGTATGTCAACTATTATAGCAAAAAGTTTCACAGAGTACTGTGACAGTGACTGTGCAAAGGAAAGAAGAAGAGACGTTGAATAATGGGTAGGAGTTTGCCAGACAGAGATTTTGAACAGAGCAGCACATGCAAATGCAGAGGCTTGAAAATGCATGAGAGATTCGGGAGAAAGGGAATATAGTTGGGTTTGGCTGAAGTACAGAATGAAGACAAAGCGACAGAGACAAATCTAAAAAGCCTGGACAAGGTCAGGTTGTAAATGACATTGTGTATTGTGCTAAGGAGTTTGGACTCTGCCCAGTTGTTGCTAAGATGGAAGTGAGTTCATTTGATTTTTCGTCTTTTGTAAAGAAAGACTTACATAGCTACACAATTATTTACCTTGAACTGGTTAATAATTTATTCATAAGAAACTTTTTTTACCTATTTATTTCATTAAAAAGTAGAATTTGCCATTTATATACTTTCTATTTCCCTCCATTTATTGTATGTGTATGTGTGTGTGTGTTCGATATACACATGTACGTATCTTAATATTGTCTATTTCCTTTTCTTGTTACATTTCCTGTGTGCTGAGCTGGGGTATTTATTCTTCTGAATGATGCAATGGGTTAACAAGATATTATATCAAGAAGGAAATCTTTTAAGGTACAAGGACATTGACACTAACTTTTGTTTCAGTTTGATTAAACAGATGGAATTCCACGCAAGTGGAAAGTTGTGAAGGCGGACCCTATAGTATATACAACAGCAGTGAACAGAAGTGGTGGGATGTCACTGAAAAGAAAGGCAGCTGAACGGTTTCTAGCATCTCACTATTTACCAACGACAATTTGCTGCTTTGGGACTTACTGTTCAAAATCCAGGTTTTATATCAATAACAAAAAGTGATGTTTTTACTTGTGAAATGCTAAAACTCCTAACCATCAGAGAAAGGAGTGGGTGATTGCCTGGAAAACGACTCATACATTCCTCGAACATTTTTCTCAAAAAGTAATTATTTTGTGAACATGTAGAGGGCACTGGGAACTACAGTAAATGTGGGAGTGTTTCCTGAATAAAAACTACTGAAATTTTTGATAAAGATTAGTCTTCATTTTGTATATAAATGCTTTGGAGATGTCAAGAGTCAACCAAAATTGTGAGCGTACTATTTTGGAAAGTTTGGCATGACCTAATTTTAGTTGACAGGAAATATTTCTAATTAAAGATGAATATATTTGAAATGACAGAATGGCTTCAAGCATTTTAATGTCACAAGAATTAGTTGGAAAGAAAATTAATTTTTGTGACATTAAAATGAGAATAAAAAATAGTAATATGAAGATCCAAATTTAACTTGCTTATCCATTTTTAGAGAGAATATAAATCATACCAATTTAACTGTAACCTAATTTTTCCTGTCTAATTGCATTTTTAGAGTACACCGAGTTGGAGAAATTATCAGTACTACAGTAAATATTTTAATGTTGTATTAAGTTTAGATATGTTGTTTAAAAGGAGAAAAAAGCAGTCCAATATAATGAACAGGAAAAATGCTTAATGTTAGTGGTGTATGGGTTATGATCAATCTGTAAACAGAACAGTGAAGGAAGAAGCATATGTTTTAGAAAAGTATCCATCATCCAATAAAACAAGAAATTTTGTTTTTTTGGCATGTGACACTTGTACCATATTGTACACTTGATTTCCCTTTGTTTCTCCTTTTTGGTGGCACAGATGGTTTGCAGCCATGAAATATGCAGATTGCTTAGTTATGTGCCATCACTGAACTCACCTTCGCGGTGAGAAATAGCAGGCCACTCAGCAACCGTTAACAAACAGCACTTCAAAACACAAAGGTCAGTGTCCACAAGAGGACACTTTACTGCAAAGTACCATGCTGAATAGAAATTACTTGCAGATAGAGGAAAGCTTAGGAAATAATGCCGTCAAGAAAGAGAAGGCACAGAAAGGAGTTTACGCCATCAAAGTACCACATGGAGGAACATAACGGGAATTTGGAGAACCGATTGCCCTGGGTTTCGATCCCAGTTTCAGACTCAGCTAGGAAAAGTCGCTTAAAGCTCTCTGTTCCTCTGTCTTCTCATACAGAAAATGGGAGAAAGAATACATCTAAGACTGTTACAAGTATAAAATAAGCTCAGTGTCTGGACTGTGGAGAGACTTCTTAGTTTCTCTTCCTAGTATTTCGGCTTAACACAAGTTAATGAATATGGGTATGCTGATTTGATGCTTTAACATAATCACATACTCGTTTACATGAGCACGCATGACTTACTGAGGCCTCCCACATCCAGTGGACATGGGCTTGTGGGTAGCTCTAGAAGCCTCACATCCCTAGGTTTCCCTGGCCCATCCCTGACGTGGTAATTCAGATGAATTATCTGAGCTACATCAGTTTATGATTATGTTCTGCTCATCCAGAGAACACCAAGTGTTTTTAAGTCTTTTCTAGAGTAACTCAGAAATAATTCACAGTCTTCTTTTTCTATGGGCTTTCATTTCCCACACATTCTTCCATTTGAAAATTATAATAGTAACAGTAAACACAAAGACAGTTGTCATTTAGTGAAGGTCTGCTACCTACCAAGCACTGTGTTAAGCCCTTTAGGTACATTATCCTTCAAACAATTCAGAGAGGTTTGTATTTTTATCCACACATGCACTCCTTGATATCAAGAACCAACCCTTCAAAGGCAATCTTCCTGAAAAAGATGGGACAGTCTTAGAAGCAAGTTTCCTGGATATTCTGGTTCTACGGGCCAGAGGTGCCCCATCTGCAGGGATCTCTTATTCCTTCTACCATGAGAGAGAACACTGACACCCAGGCCGTGTGGCGAGTTCTCATCCTGTTCAGCCATTCTCTATGGCTATACTTTCTAGGCCCCTCCTTCAATCCTAGGTTGGAGGAAAAACTCTGTTGACCCAATTCTAGACTTTCCTGTCAATCCAGGGGGGTCTCCTGGTTCTTTTTAGCCCAGAGCTCCTGCAATGTCCTCTTGACTCTCTCACCTCCTCCCACTATGCGTTTTTGCTACGTTACACTATTGATTCTACTAAACCACACCAAAGCAATGAATCCCTCTCTGCAGCAAGCCCTCTAATGTAAAATAATCTCTCATGCCCTAATAAAATTCTGATATTACAGATAAAATGATGACTGAGGTTCAAAGACATCAAATAGCTTTGCTATGATGACCCATGTAATTACAGTCAGCACTAGAACTTAGACTTCAAACTCGGGGCTTTTTATACCATACTATTCTGTTCCAGATCTTGTCAACTCAATGTATTTCCAGGAATTTCAGAAATCAGACAGTATCCTTTTTTAATCTCATTTAAACACTCAATTCTCTGGAAAATGTTTATCTTATAAAAATACTTACAAGCAGTCATAAATAGTAAGAGCAAATTTATCGAATCTTAAATGTTAAGGAACATTAAGTACTTAAAGCGTTTTAAAAGGGTGATTCACTAGCATTCCTAAGAAACTGCGATGGGGATGATTCACTACAGAAAGTTTAAATGAGACTTTGAGTTAGACTGTGTACAAATCATAAATTATAAAAAAGAGAGCGAGAGAGAGTGAAGATTTTTTTTAAAACCCTTTGTGGTTGCTTTTCTTACAGCTGAATATCATTTTACTAGAAAAGGGGTTGGCCAACCTGTTGATTCATCCTGGACGGATGCCACTTTTTGTTTTATATATTTTTTAAAGAACTATTGCTCATGTCACCTTCTTCTGCTGCTTTTTCTCTTCTTCTTTCTTCTCTACCTCCTCCTCCCTTTTTTTGCATGGGGGGTGTATTAAAATTAGCTCAAATAAAAGATCACATATTGTGCTACAAAATTAATATCTATAAAAATCAATTTTATATTGGCTTCATTTGCTCTTTCTCCTTGTCCACAGATAATGCTTATAATGTTTTTCCAAGGGAGATAAAGATATCAGAATGATCTGCTTCTAAAGGTAGAATGGAAGTAAGGTCAGTGTTGAGATGTTATGAATTCACTCTTCAGGGAAGTTTCCAAGATTATGTAGAGTAATAAAATAGAATCAGCAGGATGTAGGTAGGTAGGTAGGTAGGTAGATAGATAGATAGGTAGACAGATAATAGATCAATTGATCCTTATCAATCTAGATCTATATTGAAAAAAAGAGGTATTTTAAGGAACTGACTCACACATAATTGCAGAGCTGGCAAGTTCCAAATCTGCAAGGAGGCCATCAGGCTGGAGACCCAGAGAACAGTCAGAGCTGCAGTTTAAATCAGAAGGCCAACTGCCCACAGAATTCAGAAACCAGTCTCCTTAAAACGTTTAACTGATTAAATGAGGCACACCCACATTATTGAGGGCAATCTACTTCACTCAAAATCTACCGGTTAAAATTAAAATGTCATCTAGAAAACACTTTTTTATAATACAGAAACGTCTAGAATAATCTATCAAATACCTGGATACTGTAGCCTAGCCAATTTGACACATAAAATTAACCATCACCCTATGTCCCATTTTCAACCTGGTCAGAATAAGTAGACTGGTTGCATAATAAACTCTACCGGATACACTCTTTTTCTCTCTCTGGCTTAGTCAGAAATTTTTATGGTTTTTATAAACTATAATCTGGTTTCTTACATTTATGAGAATTTAGAAGGGAAAGTATTGCCTCAAGTCTAACTGTAGTGTTACAAATCAGTAGCAATTTTCTTTGCTAGCATAGCTGGGAAAATGATTTTCTTCAAGCTCTAAAGATTTGATAATTCCTTCCCTGCTAGTCACTGTGAACAACGGCATAAATCTATGGGATTATGAGAGTCACTTTCACAGCATTTTAAAGTAATTCTAGTTCTGTAATTCCTTTCTTTAAATTTCTAATATTGACTGACTCATCCCTTACTCTGTTCCCTACTCTGTCTTATTCTTACAGATGTAAGATGAGCCCAACAGCAATTGAGTCAGAGCTGGTGAAAGATGAGAAGTTTGTGGGTTCTAACTCCCCTGATCCTAAATAATCTCATTCTCATGAGGGATTTTACCCATGGAAGTTATCTCTCTGAGTGTGTCTGTGCCTGTGTGTCTGTGTCTTTGAAGGGAGGAGAGCAGAAATTAAGAGAAAGATGCAGAGGACATAGAATAAAGAGGAGATTGACATTTTCTTCATTTTCTTAGCTTGTTGTCCCTAAATGCTTGAAAAATTAAGATTCAAAAGATGTAAGATTTTGAAAAGATATGTTTGCTGTCATCTAAATCTTTCACCATCAAGATTTTGTGCTGGTGCCATGAAGAACAGGATGTAAAGGATGGAGTCAAAAGAGGAAAAGGCATCTCAGGCACACAAGTGGTGAAGATTTGTGGGAAAGCAGCATGGCCAGAGTGGAGAGCAGCAAGCAATGAGGCTGGACAGGCAGCCTAAAGCCACACTTTCAAGGGTCTTCAGAACCCCACAGAGATTAAGCTTGTCACAACAGTGTTGCCATGAGATAGGAGACATGATGGGAAGGGAGGTGGAATGAGAAGAAATGAACAGAAGGCCAAGGAAAGAATTTCAAAAAACCCACTCCTAAAGTGTGAGGGGCGGAGAGTGGAGCTGTGTGTATCTTGTCCCAGGTCTGATTTTCCTGCTGAAGTTAGAGGGCAGGTCAGATGCTACAGGTAAGGGGAGAGAGTAGGATTGAAAGAAGATTGTTCAGTTCAATTCCACAAGGATTTTGAAGCTCCTTCTCTGGACCGGCCACAATGCTAGGTGTTAGGAATACAAAGATGAGTAAACTGTGGCCTGTCTTTTCAAGAAGATTTCAGGCTTCAAACAATCCAAAAAAAAAATTGTGTAAAACAAAAGGAGTTAGTGGAACAAGACTTGGTCTCCTCCTTGATTCTGAAGAAAACCAGATTATACCACCTCAATATATGCCTCTTTGACATAAATTTTTTTACATGAAAGCAATTAAGAAGCAGATGCAGGAGAGCTTTGTCTTCCCTGTTTGCCTTAAAACAGGACAGAGAATTAGAAAGACAAGATATCTGTCTATTCTACTCCCTCCCACCTATAGTTCTCCTTGACAACCTTTATTAACTTAGAGGTGGCACCAGGGGAACCCAAGCAGATTCTATTACTTTCTCCATGCATTTACTTTTCCATGGTTTTCTTGCTTTTGGAAGCCTGAGATTACTTTCCTCTATCTTGTCATTTGGAAGGTAATATATATGCCAGACTTGAAGCAACTACTTTGAGTTACTTTTTTTTCACCTGATGTGCAACACATTCATGAATAAACTTGCTTTTCTCTTGTTAATGTCTTCTGTTGTAGGATTCGTCTCAACTATAAACTAATGAGGGTTGAGGAAAAATTGTTTTTTCTCCCCTTCAACTGGGAGCATAAACCTTGGCAGTCTGATGTGAGGGTAAGGGCAGCTTACCATGGAGGCCAGGCTCTTGTAGACATGCCACGTGATCAAGACTGAGCAAATGTACTTGAGGGGCCAAGGCAAGAGGATTGCTTGAGCCCGAGAGTTCGAGGCTGCAGTGAGTGGTGGTGGTGCCACTGCACTCCAGCCTGGGTGAGAAGAGTGAGACACCTTGTCTCCAAATAAATAAATATTTTAAAATAAAAATAAAAAGTAGAGTGAGCTAACGACTGAAGCTGGATGATTAGCAATTCCAGTGAAATAGCAAGTTCTGCACATGCAGAGGGTTGGGAGAGGCATGTGCGTAAGAAAGTTGTAGCTTGAGATTTATTGTAAATTCTGAGATTTCATAATGAGGCCCAGGGAGCGCATATGCATATGTGTTGCTGCTGTGTAGTGGGAATGGAGGTCAAGAAAAACAGCAAGTGAAGAGCCTTGAGATCCAAGAGACAGATGGGTTGTTAACACGCAGTAATACTTTCATGTACTTGTGGCAAGGTGAAATCGCTCCACTACTCTCAGAACGGGCTCAGAAACTATTTCTATATATCTCTGTAAATCATCTCAATTTCTTCAGTACTTACTCCATTCTGTAGAGAGCGGGAGGGCAACCCTAAATATTTAGGTTAGTTTCTAAGTAAACTCAGCACACGGTAATAAAAAGAACCAGCTACATAACTTGCAGGCTCATTGAAAAATGAAAATGCATGATCCCTTTCTCAAAAGTTGAGAGTTTCAAGATGGTGACAGTAGAGTGTGTAAACAAGGGTGGGGTACTTCTGATCACACACCCACAAAGCTGGCCGTGGTAATGAGGTCAACAACCCCTTTAGGTGACAGCTCCATATCTTTAAAGTGCTCAGGGTCTCAGAGTTCTCTTCCTCTGGCTGCTCTCCACAGGTGGGACAGAGATTTGGAGGAAAAGAATATGTAACACAGCTGCTTTTTGTGTCTCCTGCACTGGTGACCACTGAGGTGCAGCCAGCTCATCTAATTTTGCGTGTAGACTTCTGGCCACATGCTGAAGCCTGTGAGTCCAACCACTTTACTTAAGCAGCACATTCTTGGCCAGGGCAGGACAAACCAGTCCACCAGTGCTTTTGATACCTCCATGTTTTGTCATTAGGGCATATGAGAAACATCCAGTCCCCAAAATTCCACAGCAACCTTTGGGTACTGCCTGCACCACGGAGCCCTATCCCCACTGTTCCCACACTCTACACTGAATCCCTGTCACCCTGTGATTGGTTCAGCTCCTTTCTAGGACACCTGAGAAAGTGGGTCACTTGCACTGATGCTTCAAAAGCAGCTAATAGGTTAGTCTTTTAAGGGCATGCAAGAACCTGTCCGTTTGCCCTTTGCACATCTCTACTGACAGCTTCTGGATCTTCTCCTTCCCACCATTTCTCCAGCTGAAGAGATATTTTGAGCTTTTTGAGATTCCATATGACATACCTCACTTTCTTATCTGGTTCTCAGTCACACCAAATTGGCTTCATCCGAATTTTTTATTCATAATGTATTATTTTCATTGGTTTTATGCATGTTCCTCTTTTATTTTCAGTTGTTCATTCATTCATTAAATAATATAATGAACATCATAAAATCACCACCCAATCCAGAAATTAAAACATTACCAATAACTAATACCTTTCTCTGTGCTTCCGTCATCCTGCCCCCGCCTCTCCTCTAGAAATAACTATTATCCTGAATTTTACACTATTTCTCTCTCTCTTTCTCTTTTTTATCTCTCTCTCTCTCTCTCTCTCTCTCACACACACACACACACACACACACACACACACACACACAGAGTTCTATCCCTTATATAGGCATCTGTGTACTATAGCCATTTCATACCAGTTCAAGAGAACCAACTGTGTGCATCCCTTCTGAACTCCACATTTAGGGAGACCATGTTTGTAACTTGAAATCAGCCATGGTGGGAATATTTCCAACAAGAAATTAGCAATTACTGCGCAATGGAGCCCATTTCTCCAGGGAGCCTGTTTTAAACCTTTACCAACACACCACTGCATGCATGTTACTAAACAAAGAATATTTGCCTCTTTTGTTCACTCGCTGTATTCCTAGCACTTAGAACAATGCTCAGCACATAATAGATAGGAAGTTGTTAAATATGTGAGTTAGTGTCTTTCTCTATCCCTGTTCCTGGATACTTTGAGTGGATACGGACTCAAAGTATTCTTTCTGAGCCTACTATACATTTCTGGCCCAAGAAAAAGCCATATATTGACTTTTTCTGGAACTAAAAGATTAATCCTGATATTTTGATATGTTTCAGTGGCTCCACAACTTTACATTTTCTATACTATCCCACTCCACCCTCATCATATAACTGAAACAATCCTATGTGTTTATCTTTCTTGTTTCATTTTCCTCTCCTCTTCCTAAGCACATAGAAAAAGAGTATTTCCCATCCCTCTTGGAACTAGGTTGAAGCCACGTGACTGGGTTTTGCTGATGGACATAAGTAAAACCTGGCCATGTGCCACCATATTCTCATCCCTCTTTTCCGTCTCTTGTTTAAGATGGCAGTGTACAGGGTGCTGGATCACTGAGTCACCATTTAGAGGAGAGCCCCAAAGGGGATCCACTAACCCACCAGACTGACATAAGCAAAAAACTTATTTGATTAAGCTATTGAGCTTTGGTATTTGTTACTGCAGGCTAGTTGATCCTATCCTGACACTTTTCTCAGGAATATCCCCACAAGTCCTAGATTAATTTTAATTGAACAAACATGGATTATATGTCCATTCCTGAAATAATTATTGTGGCCAGAAAAATTTGATGCATCGATTGGCCAAGCTTGGTTCACATGCTCTATTCCTGGAGTTCAACATGAACTTTGACAAACAAATGGGTTGATATTGAGGTAAGAGTTGATATGCCAGAAATAAATTATGGAATTATTTTGGTTTTGTTTTTTAAGGAGTAGGAGAGGATAAGGAGTGGACACTAATGTCAAAAAATATGAGCTTTCAGGAATTATGGGTAGAGTATTTTATTTTAGTAAATATTAATGTTAAGGATTAGTTTTAGATAAAGCCTGAAAGATCAAATTGAATCCAATTTTAAAACTCTAACCCTGGAATGCCAAATTAAAGTAGATTTTCTATTCTTAGGAAATTATGTATGTTTTTGTGTTGGGCAGTTATTTGATGTGTTTGATGAGAGGAGTTATTTAAGAATAATAACTTAGTGGTAGTTTGAGAATAGTTTGAGATGGGAGAAAACTGGAGTTTAGAAAATTATAATAATTTGAGAATGCAAGAATGAGTAATAATAGTAATGATTTTAGAGAAAATTGATGCATACTGAGTTATATAAGAAAGGAAGAATTGACAGGTCTTTGGGGGTAGATAAGCAGGAAACAAGATTCAAAGGTTTGAAACTTGCACAGGGAGATTTTATTTGGGGAAAATTATACACTTCAGGATGCTGAGTCTGAGATGCCTTTTAGATATTCAAATGGAAGACAAATAGTTTTGTAGCTTGAATCTGGGAATAATGTGGTCTGGAGACATAGATCTGGTAGTCATATACTTAAAGATATTTGTTGATAAAATTATTTAACGAGAGTGGAGATAAAAAGCAAAAGTCTAAGAAAACTCCTTGGAACTGGCTAGCCATATGCAGAAAATTGAAACTAGACCCCTACCTCACAATGGGTTGAAGACTTAAACATAAAACTCCAAACTATAATAACCCTAGAAAAAAATCTAAGCAATATCATTCAGAATATAGACACTGGCAAAGATTTCATGATGAAATAGCCAAAAGCAACTGCAAAAGAAGCAAGACTTGACAAATGAGGTCTAATTAAACTAAAGAGCTTCTGCACAGCAAAAGAAATTATCATCAGAACTAACAGGCAACCTACAGAGTGGGAGAAAAATTTTGCAATCTATCTATCTGACAAAGGTCTAATATCAAGAATCTACAAGGAACTCAAACAAATTTACACAAAAAAACAAACAGCCCTATTATAAAGTGAGCAAAGGACATGAACAGACATTTCTCAAAAAGAAACATATTCATGCAGCCAACAAACATAAGGAAAAAAGCTCAACATCACTGATCATTAGAGAAATGCAAATCAAAATCACAATGAGATATCATCTCACACCAGTCAGAATGGTGATTATTAAAAAGTCAAGAAATGACAAATGCTGACAAGGTTGCAGCGTAATGGGAATGCTTTTACACTGTTGGTAGGAATGTAAATTAATTCAACCATTGTGGAAGACAGTTTGGCAATTCCTCAAAGATGTAGATCCAGAAATACCAATTGGCCCAGCAATCCCATTACTGGGTATATATCCAAAGGAATATAAATCATTCTACTACAAAGATACATGCATTCATACATTCATTGCAGCACTATTCACGATAGCAAAGATGTGGAATCAACCCAAATGCTCATCAACAATAGACTGGATAAAGAAAATGTGGTACATATACACCATGGAATACTATGCAGCCAGAAAAAGAAATGAGATTATGTCCTTTGCAGGAACATGGATGAAGCTGGAAGCCATTATCCTTAGCAAACTAATGTTGGAACAGAAAACCAAGCGCCACATGTTCTCAATTATATGTGGGAGCTGAAACAATGAGAACAAGTGACACAGGGAGGGGAACAACACACACTGGAGCCTGTCAGGAGGTGGGAAGGAGGGAGGGAGAGCATTAGGAAAAACACTAATGCATGCTGGGCTTAATATCTAAGTGATGGATTGATAGGTACAGCAACCACTATGGCACATTTTACCTGTGTAACAAACCTGCACATCCTGCACATGTACCCCAGAACTAAAAATGAAAATTTAAAAAAAAGAATAACTCCTTGGGTAATAACCATCATTATGACCCAGTAGAGGTAGGAGAAACTGACTGAAGAAGAGAGAAGTAAAGAGAAGTAGGAAGCCAATAAAACATCTCTTAAAATTGCCAAATGCTGCAGAGTAACACTAAGGAAGTCACTGGGATCTTGAAATTTCAATAGAATGAAAATGAAGTTTCAGGAAAGCCAAATTTTGAAGTGTTAATGAGATAGTAAGTAGTAAAGAAATAGCATTAAAAATCGGGTAGGAAATAACTTAGTAGGTTGAAAGCGTGCTACACTCAAACAAAGGTTTCTGCAGGACTAAGGAGATCTGTGCATTTTTAAATGAGAGGAAAACAAGCCACAAAGGAGAGCTTCAGCTGTTGATGTTCTAGGGTTGGTTTTTTGTTCTAAGGTTCGTTATTTGTTTTTGTTTGTTGTGTTTTCCAGAAAACTAATGATAATATTACCGTTTATTGACACCTAATATGTGTCAGGCACTGCAATACTTTTTACTTATATTTTGCCAACTATTATACCTATTTTATAATGAGGAAATGAAAAATAGGGGAAATATCCCAACAAAAATCAGCCATCTCGTAAGTGGGAGCAGAGTATCCACTACTTGGTGTGAATTCACTTTCCATTATGCCTCCCAGTCTCTGAAATGCCAATAGTGGTGGCATCAGATAATCCACCAGAAAGTCCTCAAAAAATGATAGATGAAATGAAAGAGCCTGGATATAATCCAAAAAGACTTCCAGAGATTTCTAATAAGGGACCTAAGAATTTATTTCAGCAAAATGAAGTCCCCTGAGGCTTCTCTTCTGTGCCCATTTATTATAGGTGATTACACGTAGTTAGATATGGCTTGAAATTTGTATTAAGAATTAATTAGTCTGAAGGTAATCAAGCTTACTTTCTCTTATCAGATAAAAGAGTATATAATCTTTTTGCCTTTTAAATTAGGAAAAACCAGAAACCCAATTAATTACTCTGCTGAGATAAGAGATTGACCCCAATACTCAAACTTATAATACTCAAACATATGTATTCCTCAGCAACTTTGTTTTTCTTTCATTTTTTTTCTGTTTTACACCTATTTTTAATTTTTTAAGTTATTTGGGGATCCTTTGTGAAAGTGAGTAGTAAATATGTGGGTTTATGTTGTATATTCTGTCTCATTCATTGGTTGTTCTCTCTGGAGAGAGCTGAAAAATTGATAGGATTTTAACAGGAACATATGCTAGTGAGGATATTCCAGGTGTAAAGACAGTACAGACAAATGAGCAGAGGCAAGCTAGCCCTGAGAGTTTCAGAGCTCAGGGAGTTTGATGATGTTACAGAAATACAGAATTGAATTTTTAAATTAATACATTGTGGTTTACCATGCAGGAAGGAGAAGAGAGTCTAAAATCCCCAAGTGGACAGCCCTATACACTCAGCTAGCCTAAAGTTACAAATGACACAGTGTGTGTTATTATGCACATCAATATGCAGAACTAGCCTAACAGTGCAAACAAGCCATCCAGAATCTTTATCCAAGAATTCTTTGTCTCTTCCCAAGAAACTCTTTGGTATCTTCAGGGGTTTATTGTAACACAGTAAATTTTGGGTAGGGATACCTTGAACCCAGAAGGGAGGGTTTTGACCAAGGTATCTTGTGACACAGGGAAGTATGGATACTTCTGGAAGGGAAGGATTCATAAGGGCTTCATTGATGGTTCATGAGACACATGTAGGGGAATAGTAGGAGATGGGGGCTAGAAAGAAATGTTGAGGTTGTAACTGAGGACTATGAATGCCAGACAGAGGCATATGTACAGCAGAAGCTCTTTTGATGGATGCCCAATCAATTCGCTCCTTACATAATCAATGCTTCTCATTCTGTCTGTAAAACTTGTTCACTGATGCCTCCTGTGCTGAGCTTGGGAGGTTAGTCAGCCTTTCTCCACAGCTCCTGGCATTTCTGATCCCATTACCTGAATTCAGAGTTTACCAAGAATCCATTGCCTTTGCTCCCAAGCCTGTTGTGCCTTCTGTATTTGTAACTGGAATTACATAATGTAATTTAATGCTATGTAACTTGATAAAATATGAATGTAGGGGGAATGATCAAAGAATAGTTTCTGTTACAGTTAAGTACAATACTTTGGAGATAATTGATAAAGGTTATTGCCTAAAATAATTGATGTCATATTAACTGTGAATGAGAAAGGTTTTTTTTTTAATTGGAGAAAGTATCTAAAACTTCAGGAGACCTGGTGCAGTGGCTCATGCCTGTAATCCTAGCACTTGGGAAGTCAAGGCAAGAGAATTGCTTGAGCTCCATTGCTTGAGCCCAGGAGTTCAGCACCAGTCTGGACAACATAGAAAGACCTATCTCGAATATATTTTAAAATAATAATAATACACAAAAATAAAACTCCAGAAGGATTCTGGGCTTAGATTACTTTACAGGTATCTTTACAGACTTATTCCACTATAAAGCAGTTAAAACCACAAATCATAAGATGATGAAGTCTGAGTGTGGTTAGATAAAGAGGCAACTTTGAACTCCACCAGAGGACTCAGGCTCAAGACTGGGCCCTGGCTCCTAGCACATGTGGCTGCCCATGTTTAACATCAAATGTAAAATATTAAGGTGTTTACACAGCATTTTCTATGATTCTTCATTTTAACTGATTTGTTCAATTAATTACTTGAGAAGCCACTAAAGATTTTCAAGCAAGGAAGTGACCTATGTAAGACAATTAAGGTAGAATTTGTTTCCATTTATTAGACATTTTAGGCCATGTGCAGTGGTTTATATCTGTAATCCCAGCACTTGGGATGGTGAGGCAAGATTGCTTGAGGCCAGGTGTTGGAGAACAGTCTGGATAACAACATGAGATCTCATCTCTTAAAAAAAAATCTGCCTTTCACCATGAAAATTTCAATATTGTACAACTAAAATATGTTCTCCTGAAGGATGACAAGTAGAATTCTTTCCATAATTTGATTTGGAAGGCAGCATGACATTGTGGGTAAGAAGTCAGGTGCTGAAGGCTAATCATTAACACTGATATGGTTTGGCTCTGTGCCTCCACCCAAATCTCATGTTGAATTGTAATTCCTGGTGTTGGAGGAGGAGCCTGGTGGGAGGTGACTGAATCATGGGGAAGGACATGCCCCTTGCTGTTGTTGTGATAGAGTTCACATGAGATCTGGTTGTCTGAAAGTGTATAGCACCTTACCCTTCTCTTTCAATCTCTCTTCTGCTGGCCATGTGAAGACATGCTTACTTCCCCTTCACCTTCCTCCTGAGTCTTCCCCAGGAGCAGAAACCTGTTCCACACATAGAACCATAGCCAATTAAACTTTTTTTCTTTATAAATTACTCAGTGTCAGGTATGT